TTAGGGTTTATAGGGTTTATAGGGTTTATAGGGTTTATAGGGTTTATAGGGTTTATAGGGGTTTATAGGGGTTCATAGGGGTTTATAGGGGTTTATAGGGGTTTATAGGGGTTTATAGGGTTTATAGGGTTTATAGGGTTTAGGGTTTATAGGGTTTATAGGGTTTGGGGGTTTGGGGGTTTAGGGTTTAGGGTTTTCTACTTGGAGGCTTAGTAAGTATACTTATAAACCCTATCAGCCATAGAATAACCCCCCATGACCCTCCAAGTAGGGGTTTATCCCTGAGGTTTTCAGGGTTTTGCGGGTTTGTGTATGGAGTTAGCCATTTCGGAGTTTGCAAGGGAAGGGGCTCTAGATTGGGATAAAGGCGCCTCATGTGATGTTTGTAGGCACATGTTGCGATTGCTTTGATGAGGACCCCGACGTTACTACTTGAGATGTTAGGATCTGCCGATTTCAAGATCCCGTCAGGTGAACTACTTCTACCGAGACAAGGGTATCCTGACTTATGCTCCCGTTGCCACAGCTCTTAAGGCACTGCCAAAGAAGTAGGAGCTGATGGAGGAGCCAAAGCAAAATTTGTGCATGCTTCTTTTAATGCTTCGTTCGCGCTGCTGCCGTCGCCGGCATTGCGCCCGCATTCGCCTTTCAAAAACACAGGGATGTAATTACTGAGCGTTCAGACCTTTCAAGCAGAAGAGTTTCATTCTGTTGCAAATCGCGGGTGCAAATTTTGATTCCAACAGCTCAGGCTGATAGTCTAAATTCTCAAAAGAGACATTTCTGGCATTATAACGCGAGCCCCGGCCAATCTTGGAATTTGATAGTAGTAATGAAAGTAACGATAATAGTTAAATAGTACCAATAATCATAGTAATAGTCAGAAGAATAGTAATAATATTAATGCTAATAGTAATAACGGGTCCTGGGCAGTTGGCAATGAAGGCAACAACAGCAGACTGAGATGACCAGATGAGCTAGAGTCTAAACTTCTTAAAGGGATTAAATAGGGGACTATAACCCCATTATTCAGTGTTCAGGGTTTAGGGTCTAAACTCCTTAAAGGGTGTTATTTAATATAGGGGATTATACAACCTCCTTTATTTACGGTTTAGGGTTTACTGACTAAACTCCTGTAAGGGGGGGTTATATATAGGGGAATATATGGGGACGACTATAGGGGGTTATTATGGAGCTAGGATTTTCGACTATGGCTCACATAATGGCCAGATAAGCCATGTGATTCTTTACGTCACTCGGCGGCAAGGACTACAATGACAGCACAGCAAGCTAGCGACGGGTGCTCGAGGTCCTTAGAACCGTGCGCACACTTTTTTTGGTACTGTCGGCCAGTTTATAGGGCTTAGGGTTAACCCTGAAGTATGTCACTCACTTGCGTTGGAGATTCCTGACATTTTGGACATGAGGGGTCACTCCTTTCATCCTTGCTGCTCTTCCTCAAGGCACCACCCGGGAGTGCTATACTCTTCCACAACTGGGGCCTCTTTATCCTCGGCAATCATAGGAGCAGTTGTTTGCCGACCATTGCACGACCATACGTTGGATGCACTCGAAGCAGGAATGGGCCAATGCACTTTCCATGGACATGGGGAGTACTGGCTGGATTTAGAATAAATTCCAGGCCTCCCTGCTCTCCTGGGTTGCTGTTACGGAACTTAAATTAAGTTACCATATTGGGAAACCCTATTATTTACTATATATACCCATTATGGTAACTTAATTTAAGTTCCTTAACAGCAACCCAGTCTCAGTTCCGTGCCTGTGATTAAGACTTTGGTTGGAGGCTTGTTCATGGTGGGATGATTCGCGCACTGAGGGGTACCTATAACAAGGTTCATAGCATTTGGTGGTCTTTAGTGGGGTCCTCGTAATTTAGGAAACTACCCAGTATCTCTCGTAAACCCCAAACCTTGGGTACTGCCCCCCCCCCCAGTAACAGTCTATATGAGGGGCCCTATTAAAGGCTGTATATAACTATATTATAAGTATTATCCAACTGTTACTGAGGGGCGGCAGTACCCAACCTAAACCTAACCTAAACCCTAAACCTAAACCCTGAACCTAACCCAAACCCTAAACCCTAAACCTCAACCTAAACTAAACCCTACACCTAAACCTAAACTAAACCCTAAACCTAAACCCTAAACCTAAACTAAACCCTAAACCCTACACATCTTAGGATCCCTGGCGGGGCTCGCCTCCCTGGGCCGAGAGGCGAGGCCGGGGATCGCGGCCTTTCGGCCGGGAGCTGAGCTCTGAGGAGGTCGCCATGAGGGGCTTAGTTAAGGGGTTTGGGGGGTTTAGGGGGTTTAGGGGGGTGTAGGAATATAGAGTCCTGTTTGTAGTGTTCGGTGTATAGGGGGTCAAGTTGTTTCACCGCAGCCTTTCGGCTTAAGC